CAGTGGCCTCTTCATCAACATCGACTATGAGGCATAAGAACTATAGAGGTTTACGAGTGATGCTTAGGTATGAATTTTGCATCGCAATTAAAACATAGTCCCTTTTCTCTATAGGCCGCCATCTCGGCTAGAGAAGTCTTTTGATGGAAAAGGAAGGAAGACGGTGGGGTGGGGTTGCTATGAGTGTGTTTGTATATGTTGATGTGGTTATGGGTTTTATGAAGGGTTTTCGATGAGATTGGGTTTTGGTAGCATTATGCTTATCTTCCACTAGCTTTGCCATGCCTATTGCATCATGAAGTGATTGAGGCTTGAGCAAGTACGGCTCCCTTTAGATTTCATTCTTCGAGCAAGAGAGGAAGCGAGTTCAAGAGATTGGTGTTGGTTAGGCTAGTGGTGCGGGTGGAGAGGGATTCAAACTCACTAAGGTAAGCTAAAATGGTGGAGTTTTGCTTTAGTTTGTAGAGTTGGGTTTGTGGTTGAGGAATGAGAAGGGCCTAAATCTCAATTCAATCTAGCGAATATAGGTTTTCCAATTGGTTATTTGGCTCTATGGAGTGCATCCAATGATGCCACCTGGAGGGATAAGCTAGTCATGCAAAAGGTCGTTATGGTTAGTTTTTGATCATTTAGGTTGTTGTGGTATGCAAAGAAATGTTCTATTTGAAAGATCCACCAGAGGACATTTTCCCCAAGCAATTAGAGGTATCTCCAATCTGGGTAGGAGTGTAGCTAGCTATTGTGGGTTGCTAGGTGTTCAATGAATGGTCCGTGTGTGGATTGCTTGCTATGGTGATGTGTTTGGTGGGGTATGAGATCCGGATGGGTTATGGTGTTTAGGGGCGGGGGATGATATTAGTAATGGTAGCGAGAGGAGGTCGGATTCGACTTTTCTCCAATTTTGCCAACTTCAACATCATGTCAACCATGATAGTTTGCTATGATGTCATTGATTTTTGCATCATTTCAAAAGTGTTTGAATGTTGTTGCACAATGGAGCGAGTGAATCCAATTTGTAGAGGATGGAGTCATGGTGGGTCAACTAGTCCATAATTTTTGTTAGTTGTTCGTCTAGTTCCTTTGATCGTGTTATTCCCTCGGTCATTGTTCAACTCTCAATGAAAACACCAATGATGCAGCCCCTTTTGTAGAGATTAAGAATCCAAGTACATATTGAAAGAATAAAGGAAAGGAAAGAAAGGGAGAGAAGAAAGAAAGAAACAAGAGGAAGAGGTTGGAGAACAATCTTTATGCCTATTATGCATTCATCATTTATGTCTTATAGTAAAATTAATAACAAACTTGTAACAAACTAGACCAGCTCAAAATATTCTAACAAAATTTTAATGATTATTATTCTTCACACAAGATTCATGAACTTTGCTGGCCTCTGGATGCTTCTCTTGCTCCTTTTGGGCTCTCGTATTGGTGGACCTTCTTGGATGGTATTTGGGCCTGGATCAGGCTTGCTTTATATTCTCTATCACCACAATGTTTAAGAAGATAGTTGCATCCTTTCTTACAATATACGATTTTTCTGTATTTATTCTCCGGGGCTTTTATCTCCCTATTAAGAATTTGTATAAAATTCCACACTTCTAAGTTCCTAGATGATTTTACATTGCAATCTAAAGTAGGAATTGGATAGGAGATATTTTTTTTTATTTTTCTTGTTGTCTACATTTGATCAATCAAACTTACATTCAGTATCTGTCCTTCCACTCAATTCGGTTGAGTCGGGTTAGATGGAGATTTTATCCACCAATTTGGTACCTTCACTAGCAAATATATATATATATATATATATATATATATATAATTGAAATTCTTATAAAATCACGGCTTATGCAAAATTAAAGCCTAAAAATGTAATTCACCAATGACGGTTCCATGTTATTTTGTTAATGGGGGCGAAGCTTAATATGGTTTCCATCATTAAAAAGAAATGGCAAAATAATATCTATTCTAACTCATTGGATATCCACTCTGGATAGTACGTATTTTATTGATGAGTTATTAAATTATTATTTTGCTTGAATAGTTCCAACAACAATTTTAATTTGTTCTTTTTTTTTTTTTTTTTAACCTTCCAAAGATAATTTCATCTCTTGTATTAACTGGAAATGTTGGGACCTTCCAAATGATTACAGACCCAACTAACACACGGTTCAAAATTGTCGAACGACTGACAATTTATAAGGGCTTTCCGTGCTACATTATAAGCAGGCCAATTACAGGTACGAAAAAAAAACACTGATGATCCAGAAGTGATTCTTCTAGTGCCTCCTGAATGATGAAACGGGCCTCACTGAAACTGAATAGGCAGGACTTGGCAGTTTTGATCAGTAATTTTGCATCGCCTTCAACAATCACATGTTGGTGAAACGAAGATGTTAGAGGACTAGCTCAAGTGGCTACAGAGTCTTCCAAAATTGCTAGTTCTTTAGGAATCGCCAAAGCAAAAAGTCTTGGCTAAATGGATCAAAATTTATCCAATCTTTTAGTTCATTTGAAAATAAATGTTTAAACCTTTAATTTCATGTTTGAATTCTCTTAAAATTTATTTATTCATTAAATATTTAATCCATTTTTTTTTTTTTCATCCATCACCTTCTCCAAAAACTTCAATTCTTTGATGTTTTGAGTTGAAATTTTAGTTACACATTGAGAAAAATCTAATATATTTTTGAAAAAATCTGCAAAAATTTTCAAGATCTCTAAGTATATTTGTTTATTTTCTAAACATTAAAAATATAGAAAATCAGGAAAAATAATAATCCAAAGCCCTAGATAAAATCTTATTGAATGATTTTCATTTAAGACTATTTATGTGACTATTATTTTTAACAAAAACTTAAAAAAAAAAAATCAAAGAAGGTCAAATCTTAAATTAAAAATTCAAAGACTATTTTTCAAATAAGTTAAAATTATGAAAAAATTTGATCCATTTAGCACACCCCTCCGAAAAAAAAAAACAACTTGCTAATAGCAATCTTTTAAACAACTTTATTGCTAAATCTCTATTCTTGTAAATTTTATGTTTAATTTTAGATATTTCTTTGTCTTTTGCTAAGTTTACTTTGAAGTGTTTAATTAGAATTCTAATCAGGAGACATGTAGCTTTGTAATAATATTTGTAAGTGTTAATTGTATTTATAAATATTTCTTGTTTTCTTGGATTTTGCTTTTTGGATTATTTTTGTTAATTGTTGTGATGGGGCTGTATAATGATTTAGATGAATTTGGAAAGATTAATGCTATTATTATATAGTTAGTTTACATAACTCGTCTATGAAGGTATAACAACCATTAGCAGTTTTAAGAATTGTTAACGAAATCCAGTTTAATGTACGAAATACCCATCCAATGGTCTTTTTTTTTCTTTAATAAGTGAATTTTGTTAGATAATTATATAAAAATAACATTACTCATTTTTAAAAGCTAGAAAATAAAATAAAATAAAGAAAATATGAAAATTAGAATTTAAAAAATTTGGAATTTTTTTATATTGAAAGAAAAGAATTTCGCGGCATGCAAAAAATGGTTCCCTCAGTGAAATTCCACGACACCGTATAAGGGTGATGGTAACACGACCCCTACCAAAAGTCGTGATTTTTTTGGCACTTGAATCTACAAGCATTTGTCATGTGGAGGATCTTGCGCCACACGTGTATGACTTGTCATCTATCAACCTTTTTATCTTTCCTTTTTTCAGAAAATAAAATCACGAATTGTGTCTTTCTTATCAGACACAAAATAATTTAGACACGTTCCATATTAGTATTTTTTTTTCTTATAAAACTTTTATTTTCTCTAATTTCACTCTTTGTTCCAATTGATTCTGTTTTGTTTTCTCCTTTTTGAACTAGGGCTTGCTTTATATTCTCTATTACCACAATGTTTAAGAAGATAGTTGCATACTTTCTCACAATTTACGGCTTCTTTGTGTTTATTCTCCCTATTAAGAATTTGTATAAAATTCCACACTTCAAGTTCCTAGATGATTTTACAGTGCAATCTAAAGTAGAGTTCATACTAAACCGGATTGGATCGGAGAGATTTCTTCATTTTTCTTTTTATCTATATTCGATCAATAAAACTTATATTCATTATCTATCTTTCTACTCAATTCGATTGAGTCCGGTTGAGTCGGGTTAATTGGAGGATTTTGTCCACCAATTTGGTACCTTCACTAGCCTAATTTTTTATATATATATATATATAATTGAAATTTTTATAGAATCACGGATTATAAAAAATTCAAGCCTAAAATATAAATCACCAATGATGGATCCATAATATTTTGTTAATGGGGCAAAGTGTAATATGGTTTCCAGCATTAAAAAGAAATGGCAAAATAATATCTATTCTAACTCACTGGAAATCCACTCTGGATAGTATTTTATTGATGAGTTATTAAATTATTATTTTGCTTGAATGGTTCCAACAATAATTTTCATTTGTTCTTTTGTTTTTCTTCCAAAGATAATTTCATCTCTTGTATTAAGTGGAAATGTTGGGATCTTCCAAATGATTACAGACCCAACTAAAAAAGGTTCAAAATTGTCTAACGAGTGACAATTTATAAGGGCTTTCTGTGCTACATTATGAGCAGGCCAATTAAAGGTACGAAAAAACAAAAAAAAAAAAAAAAAAAAAAAAACTGATGATCGAGAGTTGATTCTTCGAGTGCCTCCTGAATGATGGTACAGGCCTCACTGATATTGAGTAAGCAGGACTTGGCAGTTTTGATCAGTAATTTTGCATCCCCTTCAACAATCACATGTTGGTGAAACGAAGGTGTTAGGAGGACGACCTCTTTGAATGCCAATCCAGATTATTGAAGATGAAGTCATTGCGAACTTTCCACAATCTTCGACATATAAAACAACCAAGTGAAATGAGGGATAGTAGGCCATGCCGCTAGTTAATCACTGTGACCAAGGCTTTCCACCAGTGTGGGAAAGAAGTGAGAGGTAAGACATCAGCACGGAGGTGAAATGGAGACAAAAGCCACACCTGTCTTGCCTTTGGACAGTTGGCAAAAAGATGAAGCTGAGATTCATCCTCGTCTGCCACAAATATTGCATGAAGCTGGCTTGGCAGGAATTCAAAGGTGCATATTAGAGTTGACAGATAGAGTATTGCGGCGAGCTCTCCAAACAAATGATTTGAGTTTACTGGGACTGGAGCGTCCATGTTTGTTTCTATCATCCTTAGAGCGGCATAACAATCCTGTGTGCATCCTTCTGCAATTGGAATTCTAAGTATTGACCTCGCAATTCGTTCTTGTCTACTTGTAATAAATTAACCGTTGTTGGAAAATTTTGGAACGTTCTTCAACAAAAATAGAAATTATGCAGTGCTTAATTGTATGTAGAAAATATCTCATACTGTCTTTAAGATGATTATTATTTTCGCTATAATGCTACAAAGATTTTAATAATTTATCTTTAAGAGACAATTTCGTATACAAGGAATAACAGATAGTACTCTTGAAATTTTTTCAAGAGAATATTTTTTAAAGTTATAGAGTTTTAGATAGAAAAAAATTTTGAAAGGAAAAGAGGATTGTAGAGAATATAAATTAAAATTATCATGTGCAGTTAGTAACTAATCAATTACAATAGAAAATAAAAATAAATTTCCTAATAACTAACCAAGAGCTAGTGTTGAATTATTTAAATATATAATTCTAACAAATTAGCTTAGTTTTTCTTTCAATTCTTTAAACTAAATATTTGAAAATTTTGTTAGATGTCTGTTTTATAAACTGCTTCTTCCTTTTATTTCTTTTTAATGTGGGATAAAAATTTCACTTAAAAACACTTTCAAATTTTCTTCATAGTACACTTTAACTTATTATCTAATATTCTTAATATTTTTGCTATTTGTGTAAAATTAGTTAAAATTCATTCGATATATTTATCTTTATCCGAAATTTTATAGATGGGATGCCTTCTTCCCTGTTTCAAACACTCCATACAGCACCCGCCCGCAAATAGTACGAGCCTATCAGCCTGGCATGGCGGGCTGATACGCACGAGATGCTAAATTACTTTTTGACTATCTCTTTTAGTGCATGAAAATCGTAAAACCGGATCCAATTACATGAAGCATTTTCTTTTATTAATGCTTTTGAAAAATCTGAAGGTATTGGTTTTATTGTTCTTTCCAAAACTATATTTGTCGAAATAGACATGATGTTTCCCGAAACAACATAACCGGGAGGCCGAGACATACAACCTTCAATTCGGACCATGACTATGTTTAATAAGCAGCCAATTGTAGAATAACCAAGCCTATTACATCCGAAAAAACACCAAGGGAGAAAAGCCAGGGACCTCCGGCGAAAAAGAGAGCTTGGTTCGTAGGAAAACTAGAACAACCAAAACAAAGACAGCGCACGTATGAAGATCATTAAGCTAGATATGGGCAGATCTAAAACCAGCAAATGCAAACATGCATGCTGTTACTAATTTTTTCCTAGATAACTTTCAATTTGATTTTCTTTAGATTTATGTGTTTATTCAATTTTACCGAAAACTTTTGATTTGTTTCAATTAAATATTATTTTCTCTTCATTTATTTCGTCGGTGTAAATTTTAATTTTTTTCTTTGAAATTTATGAAATATCTCAATGTCTTTCAAAACAAAAATACAGAAAAACTTCCATAAAAGAGTCATTCTTTCTTTATTTTAATGTCCCAAAATGCATGTCTCATATCAAAATGTCAAAGATTTAAATAATAAATTTTACTACTTAAACCCTCTTTAAAAATTGAATTCACATTTTTTTTTCAACTACATTTAATTTTAAAAGACAATGTGTTAAATACAATAAAAAAAAATGTATGAATTGACAACATATTTAATATATTTTATTAATTTGTGAGAAAAGTCTAATAAGACTCTTTAGTGGACGGAGAGAATATTTTATTAAAACAAATATAATAAAACTCTATAGGTTTAATTTCTTAAAAAATTCTCAAATCCTATTAACTTAAGTTCTCACTTAGCAACATTATTTTTTCTTTATCAATACTATATTTAAATGAAAATCAAGATTTAATTTGATTTAGCTCTCTCTTTTAATTTTTATTTTTTCATGATTCATCTCATCCATCATGCCCCCTTTATTTCATTGACGATGTCATCAAATAGTACTTCATATGTATTAGACACACACGGCAAGGACTCCAGCATTGATAAGTTCAGTAGTAACAAGAACCTTAAGTCTTACAGTAAAAAGTACTCCAACAGCAACAAGATGTCTTCTATGGCTCACCTGCAACAACCTGATAAAGACAAGGGATGAGTTATTCACTACAACACTTACTCTTTGTATATATCTATCATAGTTGTTATCTCTTCAAAGTTATTCCTATAACAATTACCCATGTAAATAATGCATTAGAGCCAAGTGAAATATAATATAGAAACATTACGTTCTCTCTCTCTCTTTAAAACTTAACTTGGTATCAAAGCTAGCTCTAGCACCCTCCCTTCTTTTCTTTATTTTTCCTACCTTACTATAACCAATGGCTAGCTCTAGCACTACTTCCCTTGTCCAAAATACCACATCCACAATACCAACTAATGCTATTGTAAGCTCCCTACACAATGCCCATCATTTTCTCTCTCTAAAACTCACCTCCATCAATTTCTTACTACGGCGTACTCAAATGAAGCATTTCTTACTAGAACAAGGCCTTTTTTAGGTTTGTAGAAGTTTCTAATCCTTGCCTCCTAGCCATGTTTCCTGTAATGACAAGGATCTCCCTCAAATCAATCCTTCCTACCTTTTTTGAATTCAACAAGATCGATTACTTATGAGCATCTTGATTTCTTCTCTTTCAATCAAGGTTCTCCCCATGGTCATTGGTCGCAACTCATCTTGAGATATTTGGTGTGTACTTGAGAATGCCCTTACTTTGCCTTCTAGCACTCGGATCATGACCTTACCCGGCTTTGCAATGATTACGTCGGGAGCCTAATGAGCTCGTCTCTCAATTTCTTTGACGAGCAAAATCATATAGTGATGAGCTCATCATTATCGGCCATCCACTACGGATAATAAATTTCAATTTATATGTGTTTAAAGGCCTTTTAGAAGATTTTAAAAATATTATCATTACTTTATCTACACATCCCGAACCAATGGGATTTATTGAACTTTATAGTCTTCTACTTAGTTCTGAATTCATGAATAAAGACTATCAAAATGATACATTATTTGGTGCACCAAGCACCGATTTACTACCAACTCCACTCATTGTTAATTTAATTCAAAGATGTAGTGGTAGCACATTTGACAAATCAGAATCACCCAACCATGAGAGGCAAAAATTACCATAGGAGGGGAAGGGGGAGATACTCTAGTAGATAGCATACTAGTAATGGAGAAGGTAACCGAAGTACTTGGCCTCAAATGAAAAATAAGAACAAGTCAACTTTGTATGTCTTAGAACCATACTACCCTTCATTATTCTTCATGCTATCTACACACATAGCCCCCATGACAAATTTAGCTTCATGGTCTCATGTCCATCCTTCTTCCTCACACAATCAATCTTGGTGTTGTGATATTAATGCTTCACATCATGTTACTCTTGACCTTGCTAATCTTAGCACATATGAATCATATCAAGGACTAGATTAGTTACGGAGTTGAAAATGGCAAGTACTTACCTATTACATATATTAGCACTAGTCACATTCAAACACCAATTAAAACTCTTCATTTGTTTGATGTGCTTCATGTTCCACAAATAAACTCATCCTTTACTCTTTGTAGAACTGTTAGCCCATGATAATACCATATTTTGGGAGTTTCACCCTTCTACCTTTCGTGTTAAGGATCGGGAAGACAGGACACCACTTCTTTTGGGTCGAGTGATACTAACTTATATGTTTTTCCTCTACTTTCCACTCCTCATGTGCATTCTACTAAAGCATCTCAAACAATTTGACATGCTAAGTTAGGACATCCATATAAATATAATGATTTGACTACTTCTTTTAATATTTCAAACATCTACTTATCCTCCCCTCTTGGAAAGGCAAACGGATTATTCTCGGCTTCTTCGTTAATCTTAGTAATGAGTTTTTTAATATTATTTTTAATGCTATATAGGGACCATCACTAACTACTATTGTTGATGGTCATAAATATCATGTACTCTTTACTCGACTATTAGTCTAAGTATATTTGGTTTTACCCTTTGCATAAACAACAAAAGTATTTGATTTTTTTCTTTAATTTTAAAAATTTATTGAGAGATAGTTTAAATATAAAATAAAGCAAGTTCAAAGGATTACGAGGGTGAATTTTTTTTGCCTTAATTTATTTTTCAAAATAATTAGCATTACTCATCGCATAATATGCCTTCATACACACAAACAAAATTGTACTATTAAATGGCATCACTATCATATTGTAAAAGCTGGTTGACCCTTCTAGGTGAAGCTAGTGTCCATCATAGTTACTAGCATTTTGCTTTCGAAACATCTATCTTTCTAATCAATAGGATGTCATCTCCTATTATTTAGAATAAGACTCCATTCGAAGGTGTTTTAAAAAAAGTCCCGGATTATAGACCTTATAATAGAAACTTTCGATCTACTTCCTATGTTTTCCTAGGGTATAGTCCTTCTCAATTGGGATATCTTTAGTTAGATCCTAAAAATAATCATCTATACATTGCTCATTATGTTTGTTTTATAGAATCAAAGTTCCTTTTCCCAACATACTTAATTTATCTTTTCAAGCAAACCCATAATTGCATTCAAAACCTTGGTTTAGCTTTTACGTCTACATTATCTCTACATTTAATTTAGCATCACTTGGTTCATACTCCACGATAAATAAATCTCCTTTCCAACTCCACCTAGCCTCCGTCCAATTCCACATCAACTATCCACAAAACAAACGACCCATCCACTTTCCTAGCATTGCTCTATAACCCACAAAGCCCACACTTGTTAGTGTAGGTGCCCAATATCCAATCTTGTTTAGATAATTTGACTTATTAAAATATTATATTCTTTATTTTATTAATAAAAAGAAGCTTCTTTTATTAATTATTGTTGCTTATATTCATTGATAGAATTAGATAGAAGCCCATATGATATGCATTGCATTGATCATTGATAAAAAAAATGTGAGATAAACATTAATACACTAAAATGATATCATTAAATATCTCAAGTCATAGCGTTATCAAGAATGGACATTAACTATATATGGTAAGACTTGTAAGTATCG